GCAGGCCGGCGGCAGGCCGGACAGCCGGGGCTGGCAGGCAGGCAGGCCGGGGACAGACGGGCAGGCAGCCGAGGGGCGTGCGCGCGGGCGGGCGGGGGGCGGGCGGGCGGGGCGGGGCGGGGGGGGGCGGGGCGGGCGGGCGGGACCGGCGGGACGCAGGAGAGGCCATGGGTGTTGGCCCGTGGCAGTGCAAACAAATGAAAAAGAACGGTCCCTCCGCGCGCCCGCCCCGCCCCGCCCCGCCCCCCCCCCCCCCCCCCCCACCCACCACACCCCGCCCTGACCTGAAGCAGGCTTTGCTTGGCTTGGGCGGGACTAGCCGCTTTGTTTTCGGATCCCACCCGAAAATATCTCTGCTTGGCGGCTGGCTGGCTGCCTGCCTGGCGGGGCGGCCCCGGCTTCGCACCGCACTTCGCACCGCACCGACCATCGCCCGAAAAAGTTTGGGAGCGTGGCGCGGAATCGCTATACGTGCCGGGGCGAAGCCCGGGGACCGTTATAGCATACACTGGCCGCCCGGCCACCTCGGCCGCTTGGCAACTGCCTCCCCTTCCACCGCAAGCAGCGCGCCCCCCTGCGAACGCCAGGGTAGGCCACACGGCCAGCACGCCGGGCGAAAACTTGCCTGCCTCCATGCAGCGCAGGGCGGCGGTTCGGACTGCTTGCGGCTCCCTTTGCGTCGCTTCGCTGTCCGTCCGCAACGCCGCAACACGTCGACGTCGTTACACTGGACAGAAACACGCACACACACACGCACACACACACCGCGGAGCGCTAATCTCTGGGCGCCATGCAAAGCCGCGATAACGCAACGCCAACATATCCTCCTCGCTTCCGGTGCCCGTAAATGAAAACAGGGGGCCCCGCCGGAGCCAATAGGGACGGCATATAGCGGTCCGGGGGAAGGGGAGGGGGGAAGGCCGATTTGCTCGCGAGCCCCCCTTCCCCCCCCCTCGCGATACCCGTCGGTACCCGCCGCAACACGACGCGGAGAATAACAAGTAGGTCATTTGTCAGTGGCGCGGCGCCGCGATCCGCGGACGAGCCGCATGGGCCTGGCTTGGGGGGGGGGGGGGGGGCTCTTAATCCGAGGCGCGGCGCCCCGACAGCTGCACTTTGCTCTGTGTGTGTGTGACCGTTTTCATGAGAATAAAACTGCATTCTTCTGGGATTTTTCCAGATTATGTTTCTAATTTCTCATTTAAAAAAAAAACCTTTACTGTGATGTTGCTATTTGCATCAGAATGTACGGATTCATTTCTTTTTTCTTTTCATCACTTGGAGTGGATCCTGCCTGGGGGTTTGTCGTTCCACGTCGATCCACAGAAGGCGTGGGCGGCGCTGGTGATCCGATTTTTCTGTTGTTTTTTTTTTCGGTCGTTCTCCGATTTGCTGTAATCTGGCACACTTTGTGTTGGCGATCATTCGGATTCAGCGCCGCGCTACCCGAACCAATTTAATGAAATCATTGAAAATATCAAAGAAGAAAAGAAACACAGAGGGAAAGGAATAAAAGAAAATGGCACGGGTAAAGCTCCGGGCGCGCGGACGTGGTCGTGGACTTTGCGATTGGAACGCACCGGTCGGGGCAGGACCCGCAGGTGGGGGTGGAAAGCATACCCGGAAAAGTTGCCACTTTACAATCATTTCTTTTTTATTCGGGTTTACTTGACACCATTGAGTGTTTTTATTTTTTCGGATTGGATATCGTCGAATGGCAATGTGTCGGTGGGAACGGGAAAGGGCATCAAGCTCCTGATTGCGTTTCGCCGGCGCCAGGTTGGCACCTCTGGCCCTGTGGCCTGCCATGACCTGCCCCAACCCGGACCCAGACCACTCCAACCTTTGTTCCCTCTTGCCCTCATGAATTGCGTGTGAAATATTATATGGGGTCAAAAAAGAGAACACACAGGAGCAGGCCCCAGACACTCGGTCCTTCCCCCTTTTTTTCCGTAACCAAGCTTAATTTGCAACTCATGAAAATTCGGTCCAATCCTCTCGCTCTTGCAATCCGAGCCACGGCGGCCATGGAGCTCTCTATCTCTTTCTGGACGCGACTTCCAAATTGGGGCGCTAGGCGGAGCCGCGGCCCGCCAAAGGCAGCCAAAGGATGGCGGTGACCCGCTTCCTCTGTCTCTCTCGCACCTCCACGGGGCGCCCCGCGAGTGCGACAGAGACAGACCGAACCGCTCGGCCGCCACACCACTTGGGCAACCGCGTCCCCCGGAAAACGATTCTTCTCTCCCTTTATTAATCACAGCTCAGCGAGATGTGGTGAACAGACGAGGCCTCAGTGTGTGTGTGTGTGTGTTTGTGATGTCCTCGTGTGCAGACAGTTTTCATTAGCAAAGCGAAGCAAAGCAGCGCACGGAGTCGTGATTCCACTAACGTGACACACACACACACTCACACACACATCGTGCAATTGCTTTCTCGAACAACTCCTTCTGCTCCTATCTCTTCTGCATTTCTGCTTCTGTCTGTGATGTGTGTGTGTGTATGTTGTGTGTGTGTTGTGTGGTGTGTGTTGTGTGTGGGGGTTGTTGGTGTTGGTTTTTAAAGGACAACTTCCCTTGGTGTTGGCATTTTTTCCCTGCCCCCCCTTTGTTGGGCCCGGTTTCCCCCCCCCCCCCCTTTATTCCCCTCGGCCCCCCTTCCCCTTCCCTCCCCGGGGCATCTCTCCCAAATTTCTGGGGGCGGGGGGTCCTGCGAAAAGCCCGGTTTGGCCGCCATCCATTAAACCGTCTGTTTCATCAGTCTCTGTCATCTCGTTGTCCGTTCCCTCCCCCCGGGTGTTTTTCCTTTTCAACGGCCGGTTAATTTAAACCCCGGTAATTCCGAGCCGGGTTGGCACCGACCCCCCGGTTTCCCCCCCCTTAAATGTCGGGCAAAGCGCACCCCGCCCGCCGCCCCCCCCGCCCGCCGGAGATCACAGTAAGGTTTCCATCTCCCCAAAAAGGGTTTTGGGAAAATTTAAAAAGGCGGCGTTCCCATGGAACCCGGTTAAAAAAAAGGGGAAAAAACACCCCGGGTCCAGGGGAGCGGAAAACCCAGGCCCCCGGTTCCCCCGAATTTGTTTTGCCACCGTTTTTAGCCATTAATTCCCGGGGTTTTTGGGGGCCACCGAAGGCTTGGGGCTTGGCGAATAACAATTATCTTGCGGTGGCGGCCCACTTCTCGAGGCCGCGCCGGAGTAGTAACACGTCGTCGTACGCGCCTGCCGGGACGGCCGGGACGGGGAGGTTGACAGCACCGCGAGTTTGTCCTTATCCTTGTCGCACCTCCAGGCCGACCCGCAGCCTCCAGTCTCTCTCTCCGTCTCACGCAGTTTTAGCGCAGCTGGCAAGTTTTTAATATGCGAGTCAGGGCCGCGTTGGCACAGTTAGGCGAAACACTGAAAATGGCCGACGCTCCCGCACTTTTTTTTCCCGCCTCGGCCTCCTCCTCGGTTGCCAACCTCTCATCCCGGCCCCTCCCCCTCCCCCCGCTAAGACGACGTGCCCCGAATATTGTCGCTCGCAGATTTTTGTTTCATTTTGTTCAGACAAACGGAACGAAAAAATAAAAGAAGTAAAATAAATTGCGACTGATTTTCGGCTTGACGCGGCCGATGGCGGCGGCAGGGGCAGACTTGACTGTCACCGCGTCTCGCGTGTGAAACTTCACACCTAGGCCGACGGGGCGCGGCGAAGGGGGCTCGTCGGCGTGCGTTGATATTACGAGTGTCCCCTCGAGCGACAGCTGAGTCGACCGGTTCAGGGCTTCCTCCCCGCCCCACCCCGCGCCGCCAGGCCGACGGCACTGCCAACGCGACGGCACGCATCAGGGATGCCAACCTTGTTCTGCTTCCCGGCACGGCATCGACTAATTTATATCGGCCTTGCGCGCACGCCGCCACTGTCAGTGCTGCCAACCTCCACAGACTGGAAACGGCAAAAAAGGGGAGAAAGGCGTGCGAGAGTGAAAGCGCGGCCGTGTTATTTTTATTGGCGGCCCTGCGAGGAGCCCAGCCTAGGCTGTGCCACGGCTAGGCCACTGCTAGGCCACGGAGGCAGACAGACAGACAGACTGCCCTCGGCGCGTTGCTCGCGTTTCGGCGGGAAAATGCTGCATTCGGATTGGCCGGGGCGCCACTTTGCACGTTCCTTTGCGTAATGACGCAATGCGCTTCCTTTGAACCGACTGGCGGGGCGGGGCGGGGCGGGGCGTACCAAGGCGTGCACAAAGGAAGTATCATTGACCCATTCAGCACCAGCTTGTTCCGCAGTGGGACGTGGTGGCCACCTCTCCCCTCGCTATATCCATCTCTCTTCCTCTCTCCCTCACGCTGCTTCTGTTTTTTTTTTTACGTCCATTCCCACTGCACACACAAACTACCCACTCCACGCTCATCTTGACGAATTAGTTTGATTATTTTTCTTAAGTCGTTTTTTGACGCTGTTCGCTTCTTGTACCGATCCACGCCATCTTCGGCCACCTCCCCCTTCTTCGTCTCCTTCCTCTTCTTCTTCTTCTTCCTCTCCCCTCTCTTTCTTTCCTGTTGGAACAAGTGAAAGTTAGATTACATTCGGAATGCGATTAACAGCCTGGCACTGTGTGCTGTGCCCCGCCGCCCCCACCGCCAAGCTCTCCCCCGACACCGTGGAGGGCGCCATACAGGCGCTTGGGGCGCTCCGAGGCGACGGCACCTGCTGACGCGTCTTGTCGCGTCTCTGCTTCACGAATTTATGAATACACTCATCCGCGCTCGGCGGCTGTCGCCCTGCGCGCCTTGGCGTGCAGATTACTCGGCGCCTACACTGTCGCGAACCGGTAGCGCAACGGATACCGACGCCGGCTTTCGGAGTGGTTTACTCGGGTTCAAATCTCCTCTCAAGATGATAATTTTTTTGTGTGTGAAAGGCCCTGTTTAATGACTCATTTTTGTTTTTGTAAAGCTTTTGTGTTTTGGAGACCTTGTTGAGTAGTTAATAACTTTTCTTTCCTCGGTGTGTCCGCAGGCGTGCTGGGCGTGACCATCACCAACCTGAAGGTGCCGTCCACGGTACAGAACGGCTCCTCGGGCACCATCCTGGACTGCGAGTACTCGCTGCTGCCGGACGAGGCGCAGCCCACCTCGGGGCTGGTCATCAAGTGGTACTTCAACTCGCGCCCGGCGCCCGTCTACCAGTGGATCCCGCGCCAGAAGCCCCAGGACCTGGACCTGCTGCGCGGCCGCCTGGACATGAACTACACCGCCAACAACCACGCCGCCATGGAGCACCGCGCGCTGCGCATCCTCAACGCCACCACCGACCTGTCGGGCGAGTGGAAGTGCTCCGTGTCCACGTTCAAGAACGAGGACTTCATGATCAAGAAGATGGTGGTGTTCGGTGAGTACCTGTGCGCAATCCGGCCGAGGCCGAGACCACGGCCAAGACGGGCTGGATGGCCACAGGACAGCCTGCCCGCACCGGCCGCACCCCGGGGAGGGCCCCGGGCCCCGCGCTACGCCCCTCGAAGCCCCGGGGGCAGGCTGGGCCGGCCGGCCGGGCAGTGCTCCGAACAATGCTCTCGTCGGCCTGTCTCTCTCGCACCCCGACGGGACCCCCCGCGAGTGCGAGCGAGACAGAGCGACGGGCCTTTGGAATGAGGCGGCGCGGCAGGCGGGGCCCAGGCCCAGGGCCCAGGGCGGCAGACGTCCGCTCAGCTAATTGAATATTCAGCGCAGCCCAGCAGGCCGATGCCGAACCGCGCTTTCGTCGCTCTGTCTCTCTCGCACTCACGGGGCATCCCGCAGGGCCGCAGGGGTGCGAGAGAGACAGATGGGGCGCTGCGCTGTGATCGGTCGGCCGGCTCGGCGGCGGACAGCCCGACGCGGGTGGCCCTGGTTGTCCTGGTGGCCCTATGGCGGCCCTATGGCGGCCGGGCCCCCGGCGCCGCAGAGCTGTGGGTGGGCCGAGAGCGGCTGCAGGCGGGGCAGGGCTGCGCGGTGGCGCCGTCTACCGCTTTGAAACCGAACCCAGCTGTTCACTTTGTGTTTATTTTGCCGCGCAAATGGAGTCCTGCGACAAGTAGTGCTACGCGCGAAAAAGGGAGGGCCCGAGTGTAGCGACCACTCAACGGGCGGACGGACGGACAGACAGACAGACAGACAGACAGGCGGGGGGCGGCCCTGCCGGAGGGGCAAAGTCTGAGGCCAAGGTAAATATGGGATCAAACTTTGACGCTGAGGACGTTCCAAAGCGGCGGGGGAGGGTCGCAAGCAGTGGCCGCCGCGTCTTGGAGGGAGGGGGGAGTCGGATTACTTTTCACTCCTGCAGGCCGTCCAGGCCGTCCAGGCCATGGCGGCCATGGCGCCGCCGCTGCTCTGTTTATCCATTGCTAGAGTGGCCATCGCCGTGCCGTTACCGCTTTCGAGACGCCCCCGTCTCCTTCCTCCTCCTGCTGCTTCTTCCAGACACTGTGTTTCCCTCACTCCCTCTCCTTGCCGCACCCACCGTAAATGACACCGTGCCAAAATTTTGGCGCGATAGAATCGCAAAAACGAGAGCGTCACTCTGGGAAACCAGAAAAAAAAGCAAAAAACAGAAATCGTAAAGTCACGCGTGACCATTTCATCGACAGTGCCTCGCCGCTGGCCCGCAACTACACAGGCGGCTAGCTTTTACTTCCTTCTACTTTTTTTATATTTCTTTTATCCTTTTCTGCCTCTTCTTTCTTTTTTTTTCTCGCGGCTCTCTTTGGAGTTGCCATCAGCTCCGCTGGGCGCCGCTTGGGGCTAGCGCAGGGCTAGGGCAGACCAGGGGCTTCCCGGGCCAACTCCTCACTGCTACAACTTAAGTTGAGATCGGAAGGCAGTTTGGCGCGGGTCGCCGCCACGGCTGGGCCTGGCTGGGCCACGGCCCGCCTCCTAATAGGTTTGTCGGCGTCCGGCTCGACGTGGAGCTCGACGGGGTGCCGGTCGTGGCGGCGGAGTGCGTTATATTGCACATTTGCCGTGCCATCCTCTGGCCTTTGCAGCGAAGTACGGCTCCTGCATTCACTCCGCTTAATGCTCTCCCCCCCACCCCCACCCCCTCCAGGATCAACACGCCTCTTCCCCCTCTCGCGCCTCCGAGGTGCACTTCGCCTGCAGGGCTCAATTCGCCATGTCAGCGCCCCGGCCGGCTAGAGAGTGTACATCCGGAGACGGCACTCCGTACTCCGTCCTTGTCCTTTGGAAAGGGGGTGGGGGTGCCGCGCTGTTTCCATACGCCACCTGGCGCGCGAGGGGGGAGGGGTGTAGGCGGTGGAGGTGTGAAGCTGACGCTTTTCGAGAGGCGCACACACACAGACTCACACAGACACGCTCACCGAGGGATACAGTGACACGACGGAGGCGCCGAAAAATACTCGGAAACCGAACCTGGCGCCCCGCTTTTTTTTCGTAAGTCTGTCTCTGTCTGCTGCTTCGCTCCACTTGGTTCGCCACCGCCATTATGAAGGTGGCAAAGAAGGTGGGGGCCTCTTTTCAGTATTGGTGGCCTGCCTAGCCCGCCGGGCGCTCTCTGTCTCTGTCGCACTCATCGGCCGTCCCGTGCGAGAGAGACGCCCCACTGTAAGGAAGAGGTAAAGACGCGCGAAGCCAGCGCGGCTCAAAGGAGTTGAGAGAGAGAGAGAGAGAGAGAGAGAGAGAGAGAGAGAGAGAGAGAGAGAGAGAGAGAGAGAGAGGGAGAGAGAGAGCGTGGCAAAAAAGAGAGACTAAGTACGGCCGGGCACAAGTGGACGAGTCGGCGGGTCGTGGAGTCGTCGGCGAGGCGCGACAAAAGAAGGAAGCAGAATGTGGTGCACTCCACAAGGAGCGAGTCTTGAGGGGGCTTGCACAGTCTTTGGCCGTGCCGCGCGCCGGGGCCGCGGGGGCCGCGGGGACGCCGTCGTCGTCGTCGTCGCCGTCCTCTTGGAACGAGGGGGCGGCCGTCGTCAGACTGCTAAACGCGGACGTCCGAGCAAGCCAAAAATTTGCAGCCGTGCCTGGTCGCCGTGCGGCGCGGACGCTACACATGTGGCCTCGGTGACGCGCGCCTCCCGGACCGCAACGGTATATTTCGTGCGTCGCTGTAGTGTGAGTGCACGTGTTTATGTATACGTGTGCCGTGGCAAGGGTGGCGAAAACGACCACACACACACACACACACACACACAGACGCTCTTCAACACATGCACCCCTTCGGCTGCCCCCCTCGTGTGTGATGACGGGGCTGCTGTCGGGGGGAGGTTGTGTGCAAGGGGAGGTGTTGTCCCCCTCGTCCTCTCTCTCTCGCTCTCTCGCCCTCTCGCGCAGTGCTTTTGTTCCTTTTCACACCTCTCGCTCATTTGCGAACTCTCGGTCCGCTCGTTTGCGGCACCAGTTTTCCTCGCCCCACCCCCTTTTTTCTCCCTTCTCGTCCCTTTCTTCTCGTTTTTGTCAAAAAATCTTAGTCACACACACACACACACACATGGAGAAGACGGGGCGGCATACAAAGCCTGCAGAAAAAGAATAATCGAACGCTTATTGGCTGGTGAATGACGTCAGATGACGTCAGGCGGTGCACTCCAGCGGCTCCAGCAGCAGCGCTACACTGTAGACACAGCCCGGCAGTGCAGCGCACTGCGCGCCACGTCGTTACCGACGGCATTCGCTGCTTCCTCATGAATACGATATCATGCGGGGCCTCCTTGTTAACTTCGATCCCGCCATTCTTTTATTCGCTACTGCACCATCTTTTCGGGGCGGATGGCCTCTCTCTCTCTCTCTCCCACTCATGGACCGTTTCGTTCGGGAGAGAGACAGAGCGACGCACTGCTGGCAACGGTGCCGTCGCCCACAATCAGGCCACAATTGTCAATAATGACATGCGCGACTGTGTGTGCGTCAGTGTGTGTGCGAGCGCGCACGGACGGTGTATTCAGACTGCATGGTGATCGCTGGGGCCCAAACCGTATTCATAGCGGTAAAGATAACATTGCCAAAATCTTTCCAGTTTGGAATGGAACATTTTTTTTCCCCGGAGGTTGTCTGTCTGCCTGTCGTCTGTGGTGTCTTTTTGTCCGATTCTCCGGCCGGGTGCCCACCCACGTCGTCACCAGGCAGACAGCCGAAACAAAATATTGGAAACGAAATAATTATTACGAGAGAGAGAGAGGAGAGAGGAAGAGAGAGAGAGAGAAGAGAGAGAGAGAGAGAGAGAGAGAGAGAGAGAGGCGCGAAACGCTGTTGATGCCCCAATCCGCTGTCAGGCTGCCGGCCTCGCATCGAATTATTTGCCCAATTAATGCTGCCGCTGTTGGCAGCGAAATGTCGCCAATGTTGGCAGCGCCGATTAGTCCGTCCGGACGATAGATGGATAGATGGACGGGGAGGGGCATTTTGCAGCACCGTTCCGTGTGCGGCGTGTCCGACAGTCCAATTTGACGATAACAGGAAGAAGCCGCTTCGAACTCTCTCTCTGTGTCGTGAATTCCCAGAACACCGGCCGATGACGCTGCCTTCCAATTGCAGCACCTGCAACACATCAAAACATTTCATTTTTTAAAAAAAAAACTTACTTTACAGTGACGAGGCACATTTTTGGGAGACAAAGAAAGTCACCAACGCCTTAATATGTCGTGTACTTTCAGTCGGATTTTTAAGGTTAAGGTTTCATCTGCTTAAACAATTCGTTTTCTCTAGTGCTTTTTTTTTTGCAAATTTTGTCGAACTGTTGCGGGGGCTCGCCGGACACTCGTCCCGCCCCGCCGGCCCTTGCGCGGGCCTTCCGCTGGCTTTCTGCCCGGTCGTTAAGACACGCAAACTTGTAAACTTTATTGCCCCGGGAAGGCGAGGCGGCTTGGAACGGGCCGCGTAAATATGCCAGCCAATTGACCGAGTAAGTCATTTTTGGTAATTACCGCAACGGCGGGTGGCTCGCTGCACCCGAATGGGAGAGAGAGAGAGAGAGAGAGAGAGAGAGAGAGAGAGAGAGAGAGAGAGAGAGAGAGAGAAACGACTACTCAGTGCCGAAACCGGAGCGTGGCGAAGGGGAAGGAAGGGGGGCCGTAACGTGACGATGAGCAGTCGCACTGACTTTGATGCCCCCCACAAACCGACCACTCGACGCGACCCCCTCCCTTCAACCCTCTCCCTCTGTCTCTCTCTATCCCTCTCTCTCTCTCTTTCTCTCCTAGCGCGCCTCCTTTTTCCATTCCATCCGCATACCTCCCCGGTGCGTGCCCGGGGCATGACAAGCAGGTCTGGCCGGGCCTGGCCGCAATAACTGTCACTCGGTGAGTACACAGTGCAGTAGTGCCGCGGCGGCTGAGGGATGGCAGCACACCGCCACGCCCAGTGCTGCCACCTGAAGGCAAAAGTTCCCACGCGGTTTTGAGTTTT